ACTCACTCACGATCACACGTTGGTCTGATTGGTTACAAGGTGGTTTGTGACGTCAGAAACACCAGCGATTTCAAAGCGTGTGTCTTTGTTTCGCTGCAGTTTTAAGGAGGAAATACTCAGCAATGCAAAAGTCTTATTAAAAACACCACATAGACACATAAACAACAGTAAAAGCGTGTTTTTCAACTTTAAACGTATTTTTTATGCCGAAATTTTGGTGCATCAACTGTGACGATCGATCTGTTGGTTTGAGTGACTCAGGGGTGTGTGGAAAACCTGTTTGAAAACAGCCATCATTTGTGCAATTCCTTTTGGTGCCACTAGAGGTTCAGAAAGTACACATTTCACGTTTAAAACCAGCAGGAAAGTGAAGTTGCGCTTCTATTGCGCCGTATATCCGAGTGAAACGCTTCTGGAACAAGAACAAATATGGGCGGGGCTTGATTGTGTCCGTGGGGAATTGATTGGATGATTGAACATTGGCTTATCTCATGTGAGTGACAGGTTATAGCCCCGCCCACATCATCAGAGATTACGATGACTTTGAATTAATGATGAATAATCATTTATGCAATATTCCAAGAAAAATAAAAATCAATTTTCGTCCATTTTGATGTGATGCTGATATTATTCTCTGTTTGTGTGAACAGGTAACGCAGGATCGCTACTGCTCGCGCCGCCCGGTCGATCTCAGCCCGCAGACGCGGTTCGCCGGGAGAACGAGCCGATGGATCCGCTCAGAGTCGAGACGCGCATCGGACAGAAGCTCCAGCTGATCGGAGATCAGTTCTACCAGGAACACATGACGGTGAGCCTGCCGTCACGACGGAAGCGGACTCGCGTGAGATTACGTCTCGCTTCAGTGCGCGTTTACACAAAGCATTCTCCCAGTGCCATGTTTGTTTTGGCCGGAGTGTTTCCTGACTGTAGTTGTGTGTGTGTGTGTGTGTGTGTGACCCTAAAGACACAAGTTAACTAGGGCAACCCCTCTCTTCCTGTTTACTGCACTCGCTTCCTCCAGTGAGGGTCCGTAACACTGCAGTGTGTGTGTCGTAGTGTCATTGACAAGACTATTAATTAATATTATTAATCTGACTTAGTTTTTAATTTTATATTTTAGTTCAAGTTTTAGAAATTTTTGTGTGTTTTTAGTAATTTTTGTATATTTTTATGCAATTTTTAATTCATTTTAATTAATAATATAAAAATATTTGCATTAATATAAAAATATTTGCATTAATATTTTGATTTAGCTTTTATTTGTGTATCTTGTATATTTTCATTTTTTTTAAGTTTTAGTAATTCTTTTATATCTAGGGACTTTTTATGAATTTTTATTTCATTAATAGTTAATATATAGTTAATATTATTTGAATACAGCTATAATTTGTATTAATATTTTGAATTGGCTTTTATTTGTATATACACTGTATGTACACTCATACACATACAAACACAAAATGGTTTTGGTAATGGTTTTATGGTTTTTATACTGTTCAAACTGTATATTCTCTGCTTTTACACAAACCCTAAACCTACACTCCCACAAACCCACACACACACACTAACCCAACCTCCTAACCTACCCATCACACACAACTTTCTGCATTATTACGTTTTTACAATTTAAATTTTAGACCAAAATTACAAATGAGGCAGTCCATAAAGTGAGTTTTTTGAGACTTTGTCAGGTTGTGGTCACTTCTGGGTACAAATTTGTCCCCAAAATATAGTTCAGTATGCACACACACACACACAGAGAGAGAGAGAGTCTTAAACAGAAGTGGCTAACTAGGTAAACATGTGGTTGGGGAACCCCGGGGAGCAGTGGTGGTCAGGGAGACTCCAGCGAGACGAACCCGCAGGAGACGGGCAAATAAGAGGCTTGTGAAGCTGTGGGGGTGACACACACACACACACACACACACACACACACAGACAGCGCGCTGATAGTCAGTCTGCTGCCAGCCGTGTCGTGATAAGACACTATTTCTGCCCCACATCTCCATATCTCTTTCTCCTACTGGAGATGTTGCTTTTGTTTGCTTGCATGTGCATCGGGAAGGATGGGTTGCATTGTGGGAAACGAGGTCTAAATGTTTGTTTGTTGCTAGATAGTTTGTAGAAATACATTATATGTAGTGTTAAGGTTGAAGACCGTCAGTATTGTGAGGAGAACTTGCTTCATACTAAACCAGCGGATTCAACACATTGAGAAAAAGTGAAGCTCCAGCATTTAAAGGGACAGTACACCCAAAAAATACAATTATTCATAACAACTAAAATAACTCCATATCAAAGTTCTAGTGATTTATTTTTCGACGAGATCTGGTGATTCTGATCATCCCATCGTGTGTGTGTGTTTGGTGTTATGAAGCGTTCAGCTGTTTATCCTGATCACGAGACGTCGGTGTGTTTTGAGTGTGTAAATCTCCCGGCGTGTGTGTGTGTGCGGCCACTCTTGGATCGATTGCATGATTTCATCTTCAGTATCGGCAGGTTAAACACCACAGGCTGTTGGCATCGTCTCCGTTTACTCCTTTTCTTTCTGTTCTTCTTGATTTATGTTTCGCCTCTAAAGTTGGCGCTAGTGTGTGCGTTCATGGTTATTTTAGGTTTTTATGTTGCTAATTGTGTTATTTTCAAGCAGTGTGATTCAGTAAAGCTACACGTTACACACACTTCTGTTCTAAAGCAATGAAACCTCGTCAGTCATGGATTTGAAACGTTATACCGATAATATCGGTATCGGCAGTTATAATGGCCGTAAAATGAATATTTAAAAAATAAAATAAAAACGGACGAAACACGCTTTAATCATCTCTCCTTGGCCTGTTATATTGAAAATGTATGTTTTACAATTTGCAGTATGATGTTATCTATTGCTAAATATGGCTCATCATAGACTAGCTAACCACAAAGCTAGCTAACGCCACTATCATCAGTGGAAGACCGCTAACGTTAACATTAATGAGCTTGGAAACCACAATGAACTTTTCTGCCTAAATAAAGTAATGATTACTGTATTTATGACTAGCATATCTCTAGTTACAGTCAAGTTATACTTGCGAGGAGTGAACATTTAGACATAGAGAAAAAGTATCAAACGTATCTTGTGCAGAAAAGTTCGCTTTTCTTTTACACGTGTGTGAAATCCGACAATATCTAATAAAAAAAATATCGGCCGATATATCGGAATATCGATATCGGCCTCCAGAATCGTTTATCGGTCGGGCTCTACTATTGATTCCAGAAGAGTTGTTTTTCTTAATTAGATGAAACTGTTTTGGAAGTGTGTGTGTGGACTGTTTTATGTTTTTGAAGTGTCTTCTGCTCATCAAGGTTGCGTTTATTTGATCAAATATTCAGTACAAACACTGAAATATTATTATAAGTATTCCTTATATATTTTAAACTCTCATTTATTCTTGTGATGCAAAGCATGAATGTTGATTATTCTCCATTGTTGCGGCTCCTCTCTTCCCAGTCTGTCAGTAACGCTCTGTTGACTTCCTGTCTCTATGAAGCCCCTCCTCCTGAAAAGCACACTGTGCTCTGATTGGTCGGCTGGAGCAGTGTGTTGTGATTGGTCGAGCGCTTCGAGTGTGTTTGTAAATGCCCGCCCCTTTCCATAACCTTTTCCTAACTAACTCAACCAGGCCCCGCCCCTTTATTCTGCGCATGAATTATTATAATGAGGAATATTGAGACGTGTTCGTTCTCAAACTGCAACATCACACACTAAAGAAAGATGTAAGACAGTCTGAATGAGGAAGGTTTCACTGAAGTTAAGAGCTTTTCATCAGAGCTGGAAGGTTCAGGCATGTTCGACTGACACACACACACACACACACACACACACTTTCATCGCTGTCGCAGGTTGGGATGATTTGTAAGATCCAGCAGATCTGAATCCCTGAGGCGTGTGATGAAGAGCGTCTCTGCTGAGAGATTAATGACTGCTCTCTCCACAGCTCTGAGGCCCTCGGGGGTCCGACACACACACACACACACACACACACACACACAGAGAGAGAGACAGAGAGGTCACTGTTGTACGAGAATCCATTTTAAAAGACTTAATATGCACAAATGTAATCTATTTAACTGTGATTTATGATTAATCTCATAATCGCAGGAACCGCACGATTGAACTGCACGTTAATATTTGTTAATGTTGATTTCTTCATTTACTAAAACTTTATCAAAATCTTGCAACTGAATTTTCATCATCATTACTCCAGTCTTCAGTGTCACATGATCCTTCAGAAATCACTCTAATATGATGATTTAACATCATTTATGATTATTATCAATGCTAAAAACACTTATATACATTTTATTTTCCAGATTTGAATGAATAGAAAGTTTATTTGGAGTAGTAATGCTGAAAATTTCAGCTTTGATCACACTTTAAAAATAGACTTCTTTTAAGAACATTAGCGATGCAGAACTGTTGACTGGCAGTGAGCAGACGCTTTTATCCGAAAACAGGAACAAAAGCAATTCGTCAACAATATTTGTTATTAGACGGCTTGATTATGACAGTGTAAAAGGGTTTCAATGATTGCAACAGGTTCTAGTGTGCTTGTGTGTGTGTGTGTGTGTGTGTGTGTGTTAAACATCACTTCCTCCTCATTGTCACGCAAGATAAAAACACGTCCAAGTCGAAGCTGCTCATGAAGGTGTGTGTGTGTGTGTGTTTATGCAGCGCTGCACAGATATACGTGTGTTTACCAGAAATGCAGCGTTCACTCGCCCTGGAGAAAACGGGATGTGTGTTGATGAGTGTTTTCCTGTGAGACGCTCGTCTGTCGCTCACAGAAACACTCAAACAATACGTGCTGAAATCCTCAAGAGAACCTGCGCTTTTCCTGAGACGCATGCAGATCTGCAACAGGACAACTATCAACTCTTTATTCTGAAACTTTCTGGTCTTTGTGGTGTTTCACTAAATTCATTTACAAAATTATGTTAACTTAATATATATATATATATATATATATTATTTTATTTATTTTTTTGCATAACATTTTATATAAATACAAATATATATATTAATATATATATATATATATTATTTTATTTTTATTTTTTTTTTGCATAACATTTTATATAAATACAAATATATATATATATAAACACTCACCTAAGGGATTATTACGAACACCCGTTCAATTTCTCATTAATGCAACTATTTATATATATATATGAAGAGTTCAGATGCAAAAGCCTCTAAATGCCATTTGAAATTTTCTTCTTTAATGATGATTTTTATCAAACTTGTATATTTAAGTTCAGTAATTTCACTTAAATGGCAACGATAATTACCTATTAATTGTTATTTAAGTGAAATTACTGAACTTAAATATACAAGCTTGATAAAAATCATCATTAAAGAAGAAAATTTCAAATGGCATTTAGAGGCTTTTGCATCTGAACTCTTCATATATATATATATTTTTTTTTTGCATAACATTTTATATATATATATATATATAAAATGTTATGCAAAAAAAAAAAATATATATATATATATATACATATATATATATATGTATATATATATATTTTTTTTTTTTTTTTGCATAACATTTTATATATATATATATATATATATACACACTGTATTTCTGCTAGATACATACATTATTCAACTTTTGAAGTGGATCAAAATAGTTGTTGTAAAAGCCTTTAGGTGAATAAAGTCATGCTGAGGACCAAATATGCGTTATAAACACTCATAATCTTCATATTAATGCACATGCACTGATTTGCTTTTACTAAAAATCTTTCTTAATAGAGTCC